CCCCTACTCCATCCAGAGACACTGAGCTTCCCCTCCCCAGCTGAGCTCCACACAGACCTGTGGCCTATGTGACAAAGCTGGGGAGGGGATGGGGGCACGGAGGAGCATCAGAGAAATAACAAGTGCTGGACCCTGGTCAAATTACTTTATTCACAGCAACAGTGACAGGGGCCCCAGGAAACGCCAGATTTCTCCGCAGGGCCCAGGCATTGTTCAGCAGCCGGTGAAATCCTGAATCGCCTGCTCCACACAGGCGGGGACGCTCTGGGTCTGAGAGCACAGGCAGAACCAGAACCCCACTCCCAGCACAGGCGCTCTGTGTAGCAGCAGCACCGTGGACAGCCCAAGGCTTTAGCACAGTTCAGGTGCAATCAAACCAGATCCGGGCTTTAACCGGGTCCAGGGTGAGCCCTGCTGGGAACTGGGCCCTCCCACAGCCATGTTATAGACAGGACCTCTGCCGCTGTCCCAGCCAGGGCAGTCCTGTAGCCATGTGCACACAATGCCCATTGAATCCATGCAGAGCTGGCAGCAGCAGCATCCAGTCCTGGCTACGCGGCTGCATGGCACCCGGGCAGGCAAGCCACAGGCCTCACCTGGGGGTCTATGGGAGGCACGCACTGCAGCTTCCATCAGAGCTGGGGGCTGGACACCCCATGCAACGCTCTTTACACTGCAGCTTGTGATCCAGGGACCAGCGACGATGCACGGAGCGTTCACACTCGCCTGGCAAGGGACAAATTGGCCTTTGGAGGCACTAGTTGGAGTACAACTGGCCTATTGCTCTAGATCACCTGGAGGGGGGAGCAACGCAGCTGAGGGACAAGAGGCACAGACGGGCTCCTGGGTCACTCCTTGCAGGCGATGGTGGCTCAATGCACTTGGGTGAAGGCCATAACGAGCTGGAGCTCTGCAGCATGGCTCCTTGGTCCCACCCATGGAACCCCACCCCCCTGGACTGTACGCCCAGCGTCCCAGTGACATTCCAGGCCATGGAGCGGACACTGTCCCCTGCTGCAGAGTTCTGGGCTGGATGTTGGCAGGGGGAAGTTCTGGCAGCTGGGCAGGAGACAGTGGGAGCTTTTGGTACCTGGGGATATCTGGGAGGCAGCTAGGGTTAGAGTGAGCAAAAATGAGCCGGGAGTTTCTGCTACAGTGATCAGCAGTGAAATAGTTCAAATGCTGACATCATTAGGTTTGAGTCAACACACATCAAGAGGGTGGGCCGGGCCATTCACACCTCTCAGAACGATTGTTTCAGGCTGTCTTACAGCGAGCCCTCACGGGGAAGGTTTTCTTTATAATCATCAAGGTAGGGTTGGAAGGATTCGACTTTTGTCGGTAAATATCCATGAACATCGATTTCACCATACACACCCAAATGACCAAAAACTGTTTCCATTGAGAATACCCCAAATTTACAGATCGCCTTATATCAAAGCAGCATTTTTTTTACATTGCCTACTTCCTTTGTATACTTCGAGAGTTTGTGTTTTAATGGTTATAAACCTTTAACTTTTTGAATCTCATCGTCTACGGTCATTAAATAATTGTCCGACCCTCCATTTTCTGACTCTCCAATAACTTCCCCTACTGTGAAAATTTAAATCAATAAAACTAAAAATATTCTTTAAAATAAACATTGATACTCTCCGTAGAGATCACAAACAAATAAAAGCTGAATTCTACCCAGCCTACACAACGGTTAGAATCTTCCTAGCCGGGTAAGCTGAGATTCTGCACACAGGACCCTGGGCATGGTCCCTGCCCCGTCCTGCTGCGCCTGCCCCAGAGACAGTGGCCCGGCTGCTCTCGAGGAGTGATGCAGCAGGTCTAGCAATGGGGTAAGCGCTAGCACAGGGCTCACACCCTATTCCTGGCCATCTGACAACCCCAGTGGCTTGGAGTCTGGCAGGTCCTGCACAGCTGACTGGGGCCTAGAGGACTCCACACCCCTTGTCCCACTCCTTCCCTTCCCCTCCCCTCCCATCCCCATTTCATTCTGAACCCTCCTCTGCAGCCTGCACTAGTCCCACAGCAGCACTGGCACTAACACCAACAGCCGAGCACTGGCCAGGCCCTGCTGCTCACGTAGAGCAGGGCTGGCCTGCTGCCCCCTCTCCAGACCAAGCTGGGGGTACAAGGGCACGGCCCCTGCCTGCGCTGCAGGGACAGCAGGCCACCCAAGCCCTGGAAAGCAGCTCCTGCCAGCACCGAGGGGGGTGAGGTGCCAGAACAGTCTCCTCCCACTGTGAGTTCAGACCCAGAGGCCAGTGTGTCCAGCCATGGCACATCCCCAGAGCAGAGCCCAGCACATTCTCCAAGCTGCTTGGTTTGTTTGTTTGCCCTGGGTGTGTTTCCTTCTTTTGTCCGGAGGGCGAGCAGGCAAGGACTGGCAGGATCCTCATTCCAGCCTGCTTAGCAAACTGAGTTTGTACCTCTCAGCCGTGTGGGTCAGGGGTGAGCGTTCCCTTCCCCGTTCTACCAGCCCAAGTCCTAGCGTGGACGCAGTTAGAGCAGGATCCAGGTGCTTCGTACCAGTAGAGCTCATTCCCTTCCCCTACCAGATGCTAGACCAGTCTGAGCACCTTTCCCTCGGTCTAGCTGCATCCACACTAGAGAATTGTACCACATGAACCATGACTGTTGTGTGTAGACAAGGCCTTGGTTTGCAAGGCCACTTCCCCGCACGATCAAGAGGCACGCAGCCTTTGCAGCTAGACGAGACTGTTCCCAGCATGCCTCAGCCACGGGGAGGGGCAGTGAGAATCCACAAGCACCCATGAAACACTGCTCAGGCCCCCCCAAGCTCAGGTTCTTGCTTCTCCAATGGGTGAAACCAGGGCATGTCTTTGTCTGCGTGGGGGTCAGCACAGCTGCACGGCCTGTTGCATCAGGACTGTTCCCCAGCCAGACAGTAAGTGGGAGCAAGCGGTCGGGTTTCCACCACAGGGCACTGCACGAGGCACTCCAGGCTTCATCAGCATGTCTTGAAACTCCCCCGAGGCCTGGCCACGATCCTGGCAGCACATCACTGCTACGTGCCCATCACCATGGCACCTGAGCTCACTTTCCGTAGGATAAACAAGGTCTAGAAAGCCGCCCTGCCACCAGGGCAAATATAGTCACACCCCCTCCCCACGGCCCGAGAGAGCCAAAGATCACTGAGAGTCTCAGGAGACTGCAAGGCTGCCGTTGGCTCCGCTCGCCCCCAGAGGCGCCCCACAGTTCCTGCTAGGATGGGCACCATAGCTCAGGGGCTGTCCATCCCAGCCCCCTGGCTGCAGTTCTACCGGCAGGATCCCAGCTCCTTAAGGAGGCTGGCTCAGGCCGACAGCCTGGGTGTGGCCAGGGGTCAGGGCTTGTGGGGTTAGGAGACGACACAGCAGCATTTCCGGCAGCAGGGGCAGTACTTACAGCAGCAGCAGCCACTGTTCGTGCCCACCTCAGGACTCTTCTGGTGCTTGTCTAGCTCGATGGTGTAGAGCGAGGCTGAGGAAGCGCCGTTCAGCAGCTTCAGGCTGGCATAAGGGTTATACGGCTGGGCCCAGGACTCCCGCGTCAGGACTTTTGAACCATCCCAACTATCCAGTGGCACCGATTTACTGGCCCCATTCAGCTGCTCTGGGGCTGGGTAGGTGGGCACGGCCCCAGGATTAACAATGACAGTGGGCGAGGGCTGCTCCTCCCCCAGGTAGCGCTTAATGAAGCTGTTCTCGAGCTGACCTCGCGGAATATTCACGCTGGCGTAGGGGTTCTCAACAGTGATGCCACCGCGCTGCATGTTCCCCCAAGGCAAGACGAGCTCTCACAGGTCCTCTCTTGCTGCGGTGCCTCCAGCCACCTGGCAAACTACGGCAGAGGGAGCTAAGTCTGTGCTAGCAGCAAATCTGTACCACGCCCATCCACAGGGCACGCCGACCCAGGCCAACGGGCTCGGCCCCAGCTCAGTTCTCTGGGCGGCTGCAGATCTTCCCAGCGCCTAGGAGAGAGAGACTCCATTAACCCAGGAAGAGGGTGGGCAGGTCACTGGACAGTCTGGGCAGCAGTGACGGAAGCTCTTCACAGTGGTGTCCAGCTCCTAGGGGCCAGGTGGCCAGGCCGCCCAGCTGAGCCCACAGGGCAGGCAAGAGACTGAGCCCTTCCCCCCCAAACTCCAGCTAAACCCAGCCTCAGAGGCAAACAGTGGGCATGGAGAACGTGCCAGGAGCTTTAAAATCATTGCCCTGGGCCCAGCCTGCGGGTGCTGGGGGGGAGGGGGGGGAGGTCCCCAGGAACAGCCAAGGGCTCCACTGGCAGGTATCAGGTTCCGAGGGAGGGGAGGAGAGAAGGGGGCCAAGTGCCAGATGTGGGGGAGGGGATGAGAGGTGGGGGGGAGAAAAGGGAACTAGATATCAGGTGCAGAACGGGGGGAGAGGAAGGGAGCCAGTTGGGGGAAGGGGAGAGAAGGGGGCCAGGTAAAGGGACATGCGGGGGGAAAAGAAGGAGGTTCGGGGGAGAGAAGGGGGCCAAGAGCCAGGTTCCAGGGGAGGGGAGGAGAGAAGGGGGCCAAGTGCTGGATGTGGGGGAGGGGGTGAGAGTAGGGGGCCAGGTGTCGGGGGGGGGTTAGAGAAGAGGGGCTGGGTGGGGGAGAGAAGGGGCCCAGGTACTGGGCTGGGTGCGGGGGAGAGAGAGAAGGGGGCCGGGCTGGGAAGCAGAGAGAAGGGGGCCAGGGGCCGGGTGGGGGGAGAGAAGGGGGCCGGGTGTCGGGCTAGGGGGGAGAGGGAGAAGGGGGACGAGGTGCAGCAGGAGGGGGCAGGTGTCGGGTGCGGC